TGGAGGTTATTTATTGGAATATGGACAACTTCTCAATGGTTATACTACTGGAGAAAATGGCACACACACGTGCACGCACATGCACACACACACACACACACACACACACACCCCACAGTAACTTCACATAGTCCCTCAGTGAGGGGTGACCTTCATAAGCCTTTCCCCCATGCAAGGTGAAATGGTAACGGGTCCAGTACTTGTAACCACACCTGTGGTGAGTTCCTGAATGGAATGGCTGTATCATGTCCAGAAGACACTACTTCATCTCCAGACTCTGTCTCTTAAGTTCTTTCTATACAGGGAGCAAAATTCTATCCCCAAGAATTATTTCCAAAACTCTACCTTTTCCAAAACACAGTGCCTGCTCACCACTTCCTAAGAATATGTAGATGGAGTTTAAATTGTGCTTCATTAATAGTGAGTTTGAAGTAAGACACATCATTTAAAGAAATTCTGTATATCAGCACACAGTGCACTCTGCCTTTGCAAAAAGGATAAAATAATGTCTTTTCTCATCTCAACATATCAAAAGCACTAAAAAACTAGATCCTGGCACATACCATAAAAACCTTTTCTCATACAAAGCATGGTAGCAACATCCCATAATACCAACATTTATAAGGGGAAAGCAAGAGAATTGAGATTCAAGGCCAGCCTGAGTATATAGCACGCTCTAGGATAGTCTGGGCTATGAAACCTTGTCACTGACAGAAAGAAGGGAAAGAAGGAATGGAAGGATCTTTTCTCTTGAAGCCTGTTATCAATAAAAAAGGAAAGCATTAACTAAAATTATAGGGGAGAAGTTTCTTTGCCCAACCTTGCTACTGTGAAGTACACACTAAGGAATTCGTGAACCTTAGCTTTTGAACCTCCAGGACAACCTGACTAAAATCTCACACTGGTAATATTTAATATAGAAAGAAAAGAGCCACAGCACAATTTCAATAGGAACCTTGTTTTTGCTATATGAACCAGGAAATAACACTTGACAAAATGTATCTTGATAAGGACATTCAGAAAACAAAGCACTGGAAGATCAAGCATAGGGCACATGGCAGCCCCTATACTATCCAGACAACAAACTATTTCAGAAAGAACACACTGACTTTTCGGTTAGTTTCAGATGTTAAAGTTTTCCTTACTTACATCAGGTCAAAATATATTCCCTTTTCATGAGTAACATTGCTCTGTCTTCTTTTCATACATAGTAAACAATAGGTATGTGAGAGTCAGCAGCTCTGTTGTGCCACACATCCCAGCCTTATTCTCTCTGTGAGATTCTGCTCTCCTGGAAGACCTTCCCGACAAGTGAATGAAGTAAGAGGTGGTAACTGTGACTCTTAGGCCATCACAAGCTCACCACAGTTCATGTAAGGCCACAGACCACAAAGCACTGGTTCTCAACCTTCCTAACACTATGACCCTTTAATACAGTTCCTTACGTTGTGGTGACCCCCAATCATAAAATTATTTCATTGCTACTTCATAACTGCAATTTTGCTACTGGTATGAACTGTAATGTAAATATCTGTGTTTTCCAGTGGTCTTAGGTGACCCCTGTGAAAGGGTCATTCAACCCTCCAAAGGGGTTGTGACCCACAGGTTGAGAACTGAACTGCTGTCATAAAGGTTGTTTCCTACACTTACAACTGGTTGAAAGAGTATATGACATACAGAATTCTAAAATCAGTGTCCATAAGTAAATGTCTTTCCAAACACAAACCTTCTATACAAATACCATCTAGGGGGCTGGAGACAAGGCTCAGAGGTTAAGAATACTTATAAGCTGCCCTGCCTGAGTTCCCAGGATTTGATCCCTAGCATCCCCATGGCAGCTCACAATTATTGATAACTCCAGTTCTGAAGGAACCAACACCCTCATCTAGCCTTCATGGGCACCAGACACATAGACATATATGCAGACATAACATCTATTTTAAAATAAAATAATCTTAAAATACATTATTTATGACTGCTTTTATGCTAGAATAGAATTGAATAGCTGCAAGAAAGATCATTTGGCCTACAAATCTGATTATATTTGCTGTCTAGCCATTTATAGAGAATTTGCTGACACCTCATTTAGAAGAACACTGGCCTCAAAGGCATGTTCATCTGCAACAGCCCTCCTTACAACTCTTTCCTGCCTCTGAAATAATAACTCTTCATTCAGCAAATTCCACCTCCCCTTCACTCCCACAGCCTCAGTCACACCTTTAAGAAGGTCATTGCTCTTATGCTGTGTGACAACCTGACCCAAATCAGGCATCCAAGGAAGCACAACTGGGAAAGAGACACTGACTTGTCACCCTCTGGGTAGTTTCCAGGGAGAAAAAAAACAAAAAACAGTCTAATGATAGTTGAATTTGGAATCATGTAATTTGTCATTTGCCAATAATTGCTACCACCTCTTCTCAAATTTGATGACTATATTACACTCATTTTAGGTTCATTTAGCTTCAGATATCTTCAATAAAATTTGTTATCTGTTCACAATGGATGGAATTTGGGGACAAGCTCAAGAGTGAGCAAAGAGTAGCTTGTTAATTCTTAATAATAAGATTCAACTGATATCCGTGTGAAATTATGTCTTCTACACCAAATAAGGCAAGAAAATAGAGAGATCCTAGTTCTGAAAAAAAAAAAGGTATAGGTTGGTCTGTGCAGAGGTCTGAAGGCATGCCCTGATCCTTTTTTAATTCAGCTCAAACTGGCAAATGTTTCTTGGGAAGCTTTACACACCAAGTAATAGCCTAGTTCTCTAGCTGACACAGGGATTAGTAATGCCCAGTTCCTGTTCTGCAGGAGTCATAGTCTAGAAATTATATAAGGCATAGAAAAATATTTGTGTGAAGAAATAAGTTACTAGCAAATCAAATAATTAGTGATGGATGTTTCTTTCTAGTACATTTACAGGTACTGTAATTTTTCTTTCTCTCTAAGCATTTTCAACTTTCTAGTTTGGAGGTTGAGCTAATGGCTCAGTCACTAAAATGCCTACCACACAACTATGAGGACTGAAGTTCAGATCCAGCATCCAAGCCAAAAACAAAAAACAACAACAAAAAAAAAACAGGCATGGTCACAGGGCACCTGTAATCCTAGCATGGGGGAGGAGCAGACTGCCCAGAGCTCACTGTTTAGGCAGTATAGCTAATTACTGACCACTGGCTCCAGTGAGAGACCCTGTCTCAAAAGACAAGATGAAATGTGATGAAGGAAGATGCCTGAAATTGACCTCTAGCTTCTACAAGCAAATAGACACACACACACACACACACACACACACACACAATTTTTGTATCTTCTATTTTTTACAGTGTTAATAATAATAAAGTGGTTTGGCTGGGCAGTGGTGGCACATGCCTTTAATCCCAGTACTCGGAAGGCAGAAGCAGGGGGATCTCTGTGAGTTTGAGGGCAGACTGGTCTACATGAGATCCAGGATAGGCACCAAAACTACACAGAGAAACCTTGTCTCAAATAATAATAATAATAATAATAATAATAATAATAATAATAATATGATTTGAAAAACTGTAAAATATTATAGTTAATATAACTATAAAATCAGAATGGGGAGATAGCTCAGCCAGTAACATGCTTGCTTCACAATCATCAAGACGAGAGTTCGAGCTCTAGAGGAAGAATAATGGGTGTGATGGAACATGTCCGTAACCGCAGCTCCCTGGAAAGGAAGACAGGAGGAACCCTAGCTAGCCAATGCAGGCTAATGGTGAGTTCCAGACCATTGAGAGATCCTGTCTCAAAGAAGGTGGAAGAAACATTAAGATGAGGTTTAGTGACACTTGCTTTTAATCCCAGCACCCAGGAAAGCAGAGAGAAATAGATCTCTACAAGTTTAAGACCAGCCTGATTTATGTAGCAAGTTCCAGCTAGGGCTACAAAGTGAGATCCTGTGTCAAGAAAACAAGAAAATGGAAGATGGAAGGCATTACTGATGATGACACCCAAATTTGTCTTCCAGCCTACACACACACACACACACACACACACACACACACACACACACACGCACGCACGCACGCATGCACGCACGCACGCACGCACACGAACCCATGTATTCACACATTAACTTGAAAATCATGGACAAATTATGATTCTCTCTTGAGTAATACTTGAAACATTTCTTACAGAAAGGCCAAAGTTAATTGTGAAGAATAGCAACTCAGTAGATAGATCCTGCTAAAAGGTAATCTAAAGGGAAAAAAAGATGAAATAGCATGATATATTGAAGTCATTAACTCCAGATGGACATAAAAGTAAATATATATGTATAGAAACAATGGAACTTAAGAGAAGCCACAGGCAAGATCATGAGGGACTTAGAGAACATATGCTTCTTGCTATGGTTATATGGTAGTTAAAATGAAAGGGACATTCACGAATTGTAAGTTAGATAAGTTGAGTTAGACAAACAGATGAAAAGAAGAGCCTCTCTACAGCCACTACTGACTCCCAAGAGGTGATAAAGTCATGGCTGGAAACTCTTACATAAAACTAGTTTGAAATGGGTGCATCTGACTAAGTGATATTTCAGGTTTCTTCTAAACATCAAATTCCATGATTTTTTTGACATTTAAGTTCTCATGTCATTCCATTCAACGTCTATTAAAGTATAATGCTGACTGTCAATGCGGTATTACATAGTTGGGTGCATACACACACACACACACACACACACACACACACACACACACACACACACAAATTAAAAAAATTAAAAAAGAAAACCCTTTCTGCAAAGTGTCCTGGGAGTCTGACAGGTGGGGCTGATACTAGCCCAGATTTGGGAACTGCTATTGCAATCTCAAGTTAACATGTAAGGAAGTAAGAAGATAAACACCTGGGAGGTGCAGATGGAGAAGGAGCTGGACTTGTTTAGGAGTGAACTAGGACATCTCAAAGAAAGCAACTCCTCCCTAAGATGCACCATCATTGTCTCTATAAAAAGACCAGTGTTTCCAATGAGCAGCACCCTGCAAGCAACATCAATCTCTGTCCTGCTGTTCCTCTGGTGACTTAGGTAAGTGAGCAGTTTCAGTTATTCTCCATATTTAGGTCTATTAAATACTAAAGTAAACATTACACTTGAAAGCTTATTTTTTAGTAAATTATGGTGAACTTTGATATAAAACCACACTGTTTATAGTACCTATTTGAGATCTTTCCTTGAGAGTTTAGGAACCTAGTAATCCCTGGCAGTTTGCCTCTTTTTCTCTCTGCAGTATAAGCAGAAAGCCTGAGGAACAGCCCAACATGAAGAATGAAAACATTCTTCTGATAGACACTTCCTCGGCTCCTATCACTTAACACTGTGGTTGGCTTTGCTCATTTTTTCTACTTTATTTATCCTGGAAAATTTTGAGAATCCGAGTCAGCCACTAGGTATCTTTGGGTAGATTTAGGCATACTCTATAGAGGATATGTCTGTCCCCTATAGTGCGATGGTTGAGACCTAGAAAGCAACTAAGGAGTTGATGGATGAGCACATTCAGGTTTGCTATAGTTTAAGAATAAATCAGGGAGCCCAACACAGAAAGTCTCCTCTGTGTTCATTCAGGAATTGAAGTAAGACATCGGGCTTTTGCTCTAATTTCATCACTCTCTTGCTACATATCTGGAACAAGTTATTCAACTCCAGATTCATTCTCAATTAGTACAGAAAGAAAATTAATCATGCCTGATAATTACTACAAATGACTGGAAGTATTTATGTGTTTCAGCATTAAGCGATGGATCTCTTGTTCCCCCATGTAGGTTAACTTCAATTTGCAACAAGATGCCTAAACTCCTGCAAGGCATTGTCACGGTCATCGATATTTTCTACAAATATGCCAATGAACATGGGGAATGTGACATGTTGAGCCAAAAAGAGATGAAAGAACTTCTGGAAAATGAGTTTCACCAAATTCTGAAGGTAAAAACTCTATAACAGAACTGAATTCTGAAGCAATTCTCTAATTTACCCTACCTTTTGTTTATATGTCAAATAACCAAGAGGACTCTCCTATTTGGTAAAAGAGAACTGAATTTGGCACACTTGAAATGCCATAAACCATTGACTAATAATGTTTCTATAACATTATTGAGTTAAAATTATCCTACCAAAGAACAGGAAAATTCATATATTTAATTTTTTCTGTCTGTGAGAGCAATTCTTATGACCCTCAGAAAATATGCAAAATATATGGAATTCATATTCTTACATTTTGTTCTCTTTAGTGCAGAGTCTAAATCACTGCCTATTTCTGGGGTTCTGGTAATCTAAGGCCTCTTAAGTTCAGGAAATTTGTATTAACCTATAAATCACTAAAAAGGAAAAAAAAAAACTTAAAATGATCAGCTCTGGAAATAAACATGTGGGACTTAAACCCAGCCTTAAATTCAAATGCTTACTGCATGTAATTGGATTACTATGGATCTCTTATGTCACATATGACTAGCACCCTTACCCTCTAAACTCATTCCTTCTCTTTTAGCTCAATATAGAATCCTAGGATTAGTATTGATTTCCTCAGTCTTAGAAGACACTGTCACCTGCTCATCTCTATTCAGTTCATAAAGAGACTTCTAAAACATTCCACTTCTCTCCATCAAAACCACTAGTCCTCTGGTTCAGGCTACCCTCTATTCTACTCTCACCATATAAAGTCCCCAGTTAGTCTCATCTTCTCTTAATATAAAAGTCAAAGTTCCTCAAAATGATTTAAAAATTATGATCTAGTCTCTATTTAACTCTGTAGCTGAATGTCTTTACTCCTTGTACTTAATCTAGCACTCCTGAATTTCTATCAGTTCTTTAAATAAATCCTACTTCTCTTCCCTTTCACCCTTTATTCATATTATCACCTTTATCTGCATCTTCTCCCTAGTCTTTCCTCCTGCCTCTTTCTTCACTTAGCTAATTCTAATTCATCCTTCAAAATATCATAACATCATATTCTTTCATTAACCTTTCTTGAATCATAATTTGTGCCCCTTTTTTGCACTCATATTAGTTATAAGAATTTATACACTTGCATAGCCTTTACTTTTTAAATTTTATTCATTTGCTCATTTTTATTATAACAGGGTAATATAGTCAGGCCTTAGTCATAGCTACTTGCTATGTAGCTGAAAATGACCTTGAACTCCTGATCATAGTACCTCCACCTCCAGAGAGATGGGATTATGGGCATGTACCATAGTTTGCAGTATAACCACTGAAATCCTTCACTGATTTAGACCCTCCATAAAACAGTGCTAGGCAGACAGTAGCTACACATGCCCCACCCCCAAAATATATCTGATTTAAATTCTATAATTAGCAAATTAACTAACTGGACAACAAAAAATTATATATTCGTGCAGATGTCTGCAATTATTATTTATACATTAACTAATCATCCTTGATTAAACACTGACCTTCCTTTCTTCTTCTTTTTTTTTTTTTTTTTTTTTGACAAGACCTTACGTTTTATTCCAAGGAACCCAAGAACTTGCCACACAATGCACACTTTTCAGGGTCATACTTACATGGCCTCCAAAGTACTGGTCTCAGCTACTATCTTAACCAAAAGTGATTGGGCCACTTGCTCCCTTGAACCTTTCAATTGCATCCCCTCCTGGCTAATTCTTCTTGGAAATAATTGACTGCTTGACAGCTTGCTAGCTAATCTCTCTCTCTCTCTCTCTCTCTCTCTCTCTCTCTCTCTCTCTCTCTCTCTTTTCTTCTTCTTCTTCTTCTTCTTCTTCTTCTTCTTCTTCTTCTTCTGTGATCAGTTTCAAACTGATTTATTAAATATTCACAATAGTATAGACTTCTCCCAAAGGGTAAACCAGATTTACAGTCTACAGTTACAAAGCCTCCATTTCTATATTATTCCTTTACAGAACCCAGATGATCCAGAAACTGTAGATATCATCATGCAAAGTCTGGATCGAGATCATAACAACAAAGTGGATTTTACTGAGTATCTTCTGATGATAATCAAGCTGGCTCAGGCTTGTAACAAAATTATTGGCAAAGATTACTGCCAAGCTTCAGGGTCAAAGCAGGGAAATCACAGTCACCATCACCAAAAGGAACAGAGTGAAAAAGATGAAGATGACAAAGAGCAAGATGCCTCTTCAAGTTATTCAAGTTCTAGTGCAGGAGAGAATGATGCTTATTCCAGGGGCTCGAGAGAAAGCAATAAACACAAGTCTGCAAGGACCTCTAGAAAACAAAGGAAGGAGAAACACCAAAATTATGAAGAAAGGACGAAAACAAATTCAAGTCACCTAGAAAATAGTGAGAAATATCAACAAGGCCAAAATGAATCGAGATCAACCCACTCATCAAACCAAAGCAGAAGGGGTATTAGCAAAAGGGAAGATTCTGGCTATACCCAAAATGGCTCTACATTAGAACAGTCTGCTGGCTCCAGGAGACAAGGATCTGGCCAACATCAGTCTTGTGGTAACGGAAAACATAATATTTCATCAAGAGAACCATCAGGTTGGGGCTCCGGACAATCTTCCAACAATGACACAAACAACACAGAGACAAAACAGTCTTCGAGCCAGAGGAGAAATACCTGTGGATCAGGACAACGTTCTGGGTCACAAGAATATGGCACAGCATCACAAACCTCTCATAGCTCCACAGGACAAGGGTATGAACAAGGTCACTCCTCTGGTACTAGAAAATATGGTGCTTCATCAGGACAGTCATCAGGCTTGAGCTCAGGTCACTCCACTTCCCGTGGCACACAAGGATCAGGATCAAGCCAAGCATCTAAGCA